GACTACTCAACACTGGATGCCAGTGGCCTACAGCTTATTCTACTGCGTATGGATAATGGATGTTGTCCTTACTGACACTGTTGGGGTGGGGAGCCCAGGTGCAAAATGGTTAGATTTGGTATCTGGAGATAAACTTGGTAGCCCATGCCACACCCCCCAAGCAGAACATCGAAAAATAGAAACTTTTGCAGATATAAAATGAATTTCAAGATGAAAAGGACCTAACACATCCTTTAGATCAGATTGTAGAAGCAGAGCCTTTAAGAGGCTTCTTACTTAGAATATCATTTACATAAGAGGAGCATTGTTCTGCCTTCTGGTCACTGCCTGTTTTAGCCACTGTGCTTAGAGGTACTTGCCAGGCTCCAGGCACTGTAAAGAATTATGAGTTCTAACAGATCACTGACAAAAATAGAGAACAAACAATTTTATAGCTAATTTGAAACCCTCCAGTTTGAGCAACTGGAATAAAATTGAGTGAATGTGGACACAGAAGTCAAGATGAATTTTTCCTGTCACAGAGAAGGAAAACGGGAAAAGTTCACTTGTGGTCTGGAGCTCTTTCCAGCACTGCTTACAGACGCCACTCCTAGTCTATATTTCCTCTCCTGACGAAGAACTATGACTCGACTGTCAATGGACTTGTTTTTTGGACAGTCTAGCTCCCAACTTGCTACATAGCCAAAGGAGACTTGAATTCCTGATCCTTCTGCCTCCCCCAAAGTGCTAGGCCATAGGCATGGATTGTTAGATTTTTGTGACTTCCAAAGGCAATTAACATTTTCCCAACACATTCAGTGTTTCGATCCTCAGACATTACCATGTAATCTACTTCTGACCTTTCACATGAATGTCTTTGTGTCCCAGTTTTACATTATTACCATAGAAACATCATAAAAATGACTTTAAAAATCATTCAGGAGTGGCCAGTGAGATGGCCCAGTGGGTAAAGGGTAGAAGGAAAAAGGACTCCAAGAAGTTGTCCTCTGACCTTGTACCATGGCCAGTGAGATGGCTCCTCTGGAAGAGCAGCAAGTGCTCTTAATCAGAGCCATTCCGTCAGTCCTCATAGAAATTAAACCATGGATGACTAAAGGCTAATTTAATATTGATTCATTCTGCTAACCACAGTGATCTTGAATACTACACTTTACTTGTTTTAAATATACTTTAAAAAGCCAGTTGAAATATGCTCATGTTTTATTCATTTTTACGAAATTTTACTTTATGTATACGGATATTTTGCTTGCTTGGTATGTGTATATATATGTGTGTGTGTGTGTGTGTGTGTGTGTGTGTGTGTGTGTGTGTGTGTGGTGCCCTTGAAGGCCAAACCAGGGCACTGGAACACCACTGGGACTGGAGTTGGTTATTAGCAGTTGAACCTGTGTCCTCCAGAAGAGCAGCCAGTGCTCTTAACCTAAGCTATCTCTCCAGCTCCCTAAACTTTTATTCTTACTACCTCAACTTAAAAAACTCAAATTGTTCACAATCAGCTAACTGGATAAACAGAGTTAGATTACACAAAACCTTCAATGTAGGCAAACTATTTGAATAAAAAAAAAGGAGGAGGAGGGAGGATGAAAAGGAGGAGGAGGAGGAGGAGGAGGAGGGGGAGGAGGAGGAGGAGGAGG